GAGACGGGCCGCGGCGGTTTTGCAGAACTGAAAGCTGAGCCTCGGCGTACCTGGAGCGCAGGGGGAAGTGGCCCGATAATGACTCTCACCGCTCCGGTATTAGTAATGAAAATACAGCGACGAGGCTTCAGTGAGCGCCGCGTCCAAGGCCCGTTGTTTTCTCAGATGCTCCTGCTCCGGTGTTTAGGGTGCTTTTGAGCGGAGCCGAGGAGATTCCCAAACCGCTCTCCCTCGCACTCCCCTTCCCTCTCACTTCTCGCCGCCCCTCCCCTCCCCAGACATTTGAACTAACTCTTTAGTAGCTCTGTAGTAAGCAGGCGCGAAGCCAGGAGGTGCCAGAATTATTTAGGATTTAATATTTATAGTATGTTCTAAAAAAGGTATTTACTAGAGGAAGTACGCTTGATTAATTTTAATTTTTATTATTATCACCTACCTTAGAGAGATGTCCTGAGCCTCAATGAGAAGCACCCTCACTGTTTGCAGAGCGAAGTCCTGGGCACTAAAAGGATAAAGGAAACAAAATAGCACAGATTCCTTGACTTTTAAGGGTAAATTGTTAATATGTTTCATAAAACAGTGGCTGAGAGTATGGACTCTGAGGGCTGATTGGCTGCATTCAAATCCTGGCTCTGTCACTTACTAAATACATGAACCTGGGCAAGTAATTGAGCCTCTCTCTGCTTCAGTTTCCTCATCTGTAAAATGAGATAATAATTTTGCTTACTTCATTGGTTGATGTAAGTTATGATTAATAAATTAACACATGTAAAGGACTTAGATCAGGGCTTTGCACACGGGAAGTGATAGTTGTTATGATGATGCTTGAACTTATCAAAGGAAGGTTGTTGGTACACAATTACCTGCTGGTTGTGGCAGATGATATTTATAATGTTGGAGATGATTAGAAGGGCTTTAGGATCTGGGAATCTGGTCAGTAGGTATAGACTGATAATTTTTTTAGGCTAATGAGAATTGGATAAACATATACAATGGAGGTGCTAGTGGTGTGTTCAATTTACATAACAGGAAATAATTCATTCTTCTTGTTACCATTTCTGTAACCCCTCATTAAATATGCAGGCATAAATTGAATAGTCTGAGTCCAAGTCTGGGCTCTAAAACTTAGTTGCTCTGTTACCATCTTGGACAAGTTGTTTTCTCTCTGTTTTTTCATATCTGTAAAATGGGGATAATATTAGTACCTATTCATTGGGTTGTTTTGAAGAATAAATGGGCTAATGTAAATCCCTGTCTGTGTAAATCTCAAAGCACAGTGCCTGGCACATAATAAGTAGTCAATAAGTGTTAATACTATAATTTATTTTTATCCCCCTGCAAAAGTTCCTTGGACCATCTAGGATCTATGGTCAGTCTAATGAGACGTTGGTGGGGCTTTTTGCCTTGAAGCACTTCTGTAGATAGATGTAATTACTTGGTAAATATTCTTTTCTACCTATCAGTTTTCGTTGGGAGAATCCTCAAGGTGTGATATTTTTTATTTTTTTAATTTTTTAAAAATATATCTTTTTATTGATTTCAGAGAGAGGAAGGGAGAGGGAGAGGGGGAGAGAGAGAGAGAGAAACATCAACGATGAGAGAGTCATTGATCGGCTGCAGCCCGCAACCCGGGCATGTGCCCTGACCGGGAATCGAACCCCGATCTCCTGGATCCTAGGTCGATGCTCAGCCGCTGAGCCACATCTGGCTGGGCAAGGTGTGATATTTTAATAATCATGTTGTGGGTTATTAAACCAAGTGGGAAATGGTGAATGAGACAGACTATTACTGAAGTTTTGAAAGCAGTCCTCCCTCTTCCTCGGACTGTAGTGGTTTGTAGGTTCAGGAGCTTGCCCTGCTTTTGAAATAACGTGGGCAAGTGTTTTATTTGTGGCCTATCTAAGTATGCATAAGAGAAAGCATCTGTGCAGCTGAGAAAATGCTCTCCATAGGAACTAAAAGGGAACACCGTTGACCCCCAATTCAGTAAATGCAAACCATGAGTGATTACACTCAGCGTGCTGTGCAATGATTTTCAGAGAGTTGTCCACTTGTGGGTGGAGGGCATGCTGAAGCCAAAGCCTGTTTGTTTTAAACACTGATGAAGACTGTTATTGGGATAGAAAGCAACCCGTCCAGGGTGAACATGCAAGAACACGGGCTGTTAAACAGCAGGCTTTAAAAAAGTGTTTTCATTGTAGCCTGTTGGCTTCATGCTAAGGTTGTCATAGGGATATTGACTTCTCATAAGTGAAAACATGATTATCATAGATTAAACAAACATTTTCATGGGTAAGACGTAAGAAATATTACCCATTTTTTTATAGCTTAGTTCGGATGCCTAAAGATTTCTGACCTGTCCTCCCTTTCATGCTCTGCTATTGGCACACCTCATAATTTCAGGGACCTAAAAACAGTGCTTACATTTATTACTGTTAAGATTGAGTTATCCCCTCCTGTAACACAGTTCAAATATTAGTGTACTCAATTTTAGATGCCTCTTATTAAACCATGACCAGATGACTTAGGTATTCAAAGAACAAACAGGAACAACTGAAGGTGTTTTCACAGTATTTTGCAATATTTATTTAGTTTTTGAAATTTTGCTTTATTAACTTAAATATATTTTCACTAGAGTAGACTATTGTATATATTCTCCATGGTTTTAATATGACTATATTAGTCACACCTTTTTTGGTAAGAGCTTTTAAAAAGTTATGCTAGAATTAAAATAATACACTTTCTTTAAATAGGCTAGATAAAAACAGGCAGATTTTGAAAAGACGACACTGTTCTTCAACTGAAGGAAGTTTCAAAGTCAACACATTAAAGATTCTTTTTAAAAGACAGAACATAGGCCCAATAAATTCATACAGTTTTCCCAGCCCCATGCTGACGGTTCTCGGCAGGGAGATTTTCATTTATGCACTGTGAAGCTGGGGCATAGCTGAGAATCGAGAGAGGGCTGAAGTGTGAGTCTGGGTTTGTAGTTTCCTGTGTCTGAACTGACCCTTTATTCTTTCAAAGAAAACCACTTTACTCTGAGGCATGAAAACTTACTGATCAGTGTTGCCAGTGTTTTCCTGATTGCTTCCAAATAGGTAACCTCATGTAACTGCAGTCGTTTGGTGCACGAATTAACCATGTCTTGTGCGGTTAATCAGATTTGAGACATATGTTATTTGATATATTTTTTGTTGTTGCTGGCAGTAAAACCAAAATTAGGTCTTCCTTCTGACACTTAGGCCAGAGGAGCGTATCTGCACTAAGACTAATACACGGGCTCTGATGCCACAGGAATTAAATCCTTGCAGCAGCTTGAAACCAGAAAAGCCCCAGGGTTTCCAAATTCGACATCACCTCTTCCCCATCCGGACAGCCAGCCCACCTGTTAGCCAACACGCTAGCTTTGGTAGAAATGAAGGTTTTGGACCTACCTGAATGCCAGAGGGGCTGCTCACCCCTCTCTGAATCTTTGCCGCTAAACCAGGTGTAAAATGTCAGCAGCCCTTGGGCAGATGCCCTGACTGCCCACTCTGACCGTGGCAGCAGAAGGCGGGCGGTGAAGAGACCGTGTATGGTGCCTACAGATGTTCAGGCGAACGCTGGTCTAACGGGAGTAACCGACTGTGACTGTTCCTTTTCTTCAGATGGGTGAGGGAGATATCCACCAGGGTGTACCCTCAAGATTTAACTATTTCCTTACTGACAAACAGTGGAAACTGTCCACTGTTCATCTGTAAAGCCAAAAGAAAAATCTGGTTGAAACCTTACATTTTTAGTAAAAGCATTTTAGAAAAACACAGAAGAAAAGGAGTATCATTGCTATGACTTAAGTAAATACGATTATGAATTAAATGGGAAATTATTTTTCCTAAAGCGGAGACCACTAATACCATTGCCAGTCATTTTGACTTTGTTCTTCGGCGGTCTCGTTTTCTCTAATGTAAGGCTCAGAAGGAGTTCTGATTGTTGGAGGTCTGCTGCTGGCCTTACGCCGGGGAGCTGTAGCATTTACAGTGGAATGACTGAGACAGTGGGCTTTGGAGTCAAGCTGACCTGGTTTTCTCTGCCAGCTCTGCCATTTTCCAGGTGGAGTCAGCTTAATCCCTAAACCTCTTTCCCCAGCTCTGAAATGGGGATAATAGAAATATTTATCTCAAAAGGTTGTTGCAGTGATTAGAGATAATGTCTTTAGAGTGCTCAGCTGGTTATGCTGGTCGCCTCTCCCGCTCCCACCCCACAGTTTCACAATCAAAGGAAGAATGAACCAAGGTGGCAAGAGTTGACTTAATTTTTGAACAGACTTTATTTTTTAGAGCAGTTTTAGGTTCACAGCAAATTGAGTGGAAGTTACAGAGATTTCCCATATACCTCCTGTGACACTCATGCGTAGCCTCCCCCATAATCCACGCCCCCACCAGAGGTACATTTGTTACAGCTGAATTTACGCTGATACATCATTATCACCCAGTTTATATCAGGGCTCACTCTTGGTGTGTGGTACAGTCTATGGGTTTGGACAAATGTAGGTTCACTACCCTAAAAATATTCTGTGCTCTGTCTGTTCATACCTGCCTCCCCCTTTTTACTGTTTCCATGGTTTTGCCTTTTCCTGAATGTCATATACAGGCATACCTTGGAGATATTGTGGTTTCGTAAGTAATAAAGTGAGTGTTGCAATGATCATTTGCCTTCAATTTGTAAACAATGAAACATTTGTGAGGCGCAATAAAGTGATAAAATGAAGCACGATAAAATGAGGCATGCCTGGAGCTGGAATCACACAGCATGTAGCCTTTTCGGATTGGCTTCTTTCATTTAGCGACATGCTTTTAAGGTTACTCTGTATCTTTTCCTGGCTTGATAGCTCATTTCTTTTTAGTGCTAAATAATATTCCATTGTCTAGATGGACCACAGTTTATCCACTTTACTACTGAAGGACATCACCGTTGCTTCTAGGTTTGGGCCTTTATGAATAAAGCTGCTATAAACAGCCCTGTGCACGTTTCTGTGTGGGCATAAGTTTTTATTAGCTCCTTTGGGTAAATACCAAGGAGTGTGATTGATGGGTCCTGTGGTGAGTGTATGTTTTGTTTTGTAAGAAAATGCCAAACTGTCTTCCAAAGTGGCTGTGTGATTTTGCATGCCCACCGGCCATGCATGAGAGCTCCTGTGGCTGCAGGTCCCTGCCAGTGTCAGGTGTTGTCAGTGTCCTGGATTTTGGCCATTCAAATGTTTGTACAGTGGTACCTCATTGTTTTAATTAGCCTTTCCCTGATGGCACACAGCGGGGAGCATCTTTTCATGTGCTTATTTGTCATCTGTATACTTTCTTCGTTGAGGTGTCTGTTAAGGTCTTTAGCCCATTCTTTAAGTTGTATTGTTTTATTATTTTGGATTTTAAGAGTTCCTTGTGTATTTTGGATAACAGTCCTCTATCAGATGTGTCTCTTGCAAATATTTTCACTCATTCTGTGGCTTGTCTTTTCATGTTCTTCACAGTATCTTTCACAGAGCAGACGCTTTTAATTTTAATGAAGTCTATCCTACCAACTATTTCTTTCATGGATCATGCCTTTAGTGTTGTATCTAAAGAGCTGTCGCTATACCCACAGTAATGTAGGGTTTTTTCCACGTTATCTCCTAGGAAATTTTACGGTTTGCATTTTATATTTAGGTCTGTGGTCCATTTTGAGTTAATTTTTGTGAAGTGCGTAAGGTCTGTGGTTAGGTTAATTTTTTTGCATGTGGCCGTCCAGTTGTTCCAGAATCATTTGTTGAAAAGGCTGTCTATGCTACATTGTATAGCCTTTGCTCCTTTGTCAGAGGCCAGTTAACTGTATTTGTGTAGGTCTATTTCTGGGCTGTCTGTTCTGTCCCATCGATCCATTCCCCTATTCTTTCACCAATACTACGGTCTTAATTACTGTAGCTGACATAATTTAAAAACAATTCATTAAAAACAGTTACATCAAGAAAAATATATACCATCTATTAAGCCTGTCACCTAATATTTGTGCTCTAATATTTATTCAAATATATACACATTTTTACCTAGTTTATAATGAGAATATATTTAAATTTTGTTTTAGCTCTTTAATAGAACATTATTTCACATATACTATGAGGTATATACTTCATTTTAACTTTTATAATTTTAACAGTTGCCTAAAATTCCATTAAGCAAATGTAACATAATTTACTTGACCATGATTGTTGGTCATTAAGTCATCTTCCATGTGGCTTAGATGACAGAATGCAGTGGCCAGAGGTTCACAGATCTGGATCTGAGTCTCAGCTTTTCTGCTTTCTAGCTGGATGGCCTTTTTCAGGTTCAGTTTCCTTATCTCTGAAACAGGAGCAATACCTGCCTTATTGTGAAGATTGATGGATATAAACTACCTGGTATAAAAAGTGTACTCAGTAAATCTTGTCTAATGGTAATGATGCTGTAAATTTATTTGTATAAATGACTATTTTCATTTTTTGCAAAATTTTAGGATATATTTTCAGGGTTGATTTTTTTTTTTTTTTAATCAACAAGTAGCTCAGTTGTTGGCTGATTCTCATTTGAAATGTTGGTCCATCTTTTAATAAAGCATCTTCATCTTTTCTAATTGCTTACTTGACGATTCTTTCTTTGTCTGAAAACGAGCCTTGGATTAGTTCCCTAACCTACTTATGGTGCTGCGTAAGGATTGTGGTGCTTGACGTTCCTGTATCACCAGCTCGCATCAAGTGGACATACTGGGTATCACCATGGTAAATATAAAATAAGAACTGCAACATAGAAACCATGGGTAGGCTTAGGCAAGTGGTTTAGCCTTTGCATTTTACTAACACCCCAAATAGGCAGTTTGTTGCTGAAGGGGTTAGTTGTCTCCTGAAGAAGCTAGACGTTAGCAACACATTTGGAAATGGGTTTTAAAACTCTGAGCCTTGCCCCACCACTAGGAGAGCATTAGACTTGCAGTGACCCCAGTCAAGGTCCCAGTCTACCAAAGTGCTCGGCATAGAAGCTACATGAGAAATAGTAGACAATATTTATTGAGTATCCGCTGTGTACAGTCATGGTGAGAAATGGGGAAAAAAATCACAGACATAGACATAGATCTTGCCCTTAAGGGACATACGTGATAGTAGGATGAAGCAACTTTGGATTGTGGATAAGCACGCCCCACATTCTCCCCATACTCACCCTCGCAAGTTCTTAAAAGTTCACCAAGAAATCACAATTACAGGCTACTCAGCCCGTTCTTAAACCATGAGGCAGAATCAAATGCAAACTCCTCCTGAAATATATTGATTTTGCCTACCTTAAATCCAAGAAACCGGACAATTAAAGGATACAAATCAGTGTTATTACAGAATAAAATAATTTTTATTCCCCAGGGGAGATAAAAGTAATGAGATATGCTGACATAGTAATTGAACAAAAAGCAAGCATAATTGGAGGAAAGTAGAATGTCAGAGATGATAGACAGCTTCAAGTGCAGGCCTTTAACTTTACGCTCAAACTACCAGAGAAGTTAAATAACCTGACCAGGGTAAGAGAGCTGCAGGCGTGAGGTGGAGGCGAGGCAGGGGAGAAACGCTCTCCCGTGAACTCATGACAGTGTTAACCAAGAAGCCCAGGGCACCTCTCAGGCATCTCCATCCCTGTTTTATAAGCGGAGAAACAGCTTACGTTACATTATTGCTCAGTGAGCTACTTAGTGTTTGACACAAGGCCTGCCTCAAGGTTTCATAGCATTTGGATAGGCATAGACAGTTAAAAACTTTTAATAGGTGGTTGATTTTTAAGAAAAGAATATGAATTGTATAGGAGAGGGAGGTGTTTGACTTGTTGAGTGAATCCCACAATATAGGAGCCAAAACCGAAACCGACAAAGAGGAGAAAAGAGGAAGGAAAAGGAAATATATGGACAGAAGCAGTCTACAGTTAGTATGATGGATTGTCACGAGGAGAACATGACAAGTGACTTGCCATTTTTTTTTGTTTAAAGTAATTAGTTAAATACGGCCACCTGACCAGAATCACTGGTATTTTTCTATATTCCATGTTCTCTGATTTAAGGTGCACTCTTTGCTGTAAAGTTAAATGGGGAGAAATTTCACAGGCGTTTTACAGTGTGAAATGCTTGTGAAAATAAAAAAATTCACTTAAAATTTTTACTTTTAGAGGAGGGAATTTGTGTTTTCAATTTCTACATTTGAATATAGAAACCATGTTGGTGAAAAGAAATTGTGTGTGTGTGTGTGTGTGTGTGTGTGTGTGTGGTGTACATTGAGGCAAAATTGCAAATAAAAATGCTGAGAGTAGCTGGAAACTGGGGAATCACTGTGTTATCTCTAAAGCCCATTTATAATTTCATATTCTTAGGAATTTAGAATTAAAAATAGTTGGGAAATATATCTTTAAAATCTTGTTTCTTTTAAGAGAATGTCAGATGAAAAGGTCGACTTTATTTGCAAGATCTGGCATTTTGAAATGCTTAGAAATGAATTCCTGCAAGCGGAGTTGATTTAGTTTGGTTGGTCTATACCTGCTTCTAACCAACTGTGCAGGCTTTGCTTTAAAACAGGTTTTCTGGTGTAAAAGTGCTGCGCACTGCGAGGTGGCTGACGGGCTCAGGAAGCTGGGGGGGCGCCTTTAATCAAGAGCGGGCGCCTTCGAGTTACGGTTGTGCAGTACAGATAAAATAAGCATTAATGGGGCATTGCGTCCCATGTGGAGGTGGGATTACAACGAGCTAGTAAATCTTTCATGATTGAAATATTATTGCGTGATTATAGAGCTATAACGTTGGCTCAGAAACTTCTGCCCTGTGGATTCCCAGTTTTGTCAGGGGCCTTGAAAGAACGTTCCCCGAGACACCCACTGTTACGGTCCACGACTCACGGATGTGGCGGATCCCATTTCTGAGTGTAGGAGGTCAGCTGTGAATACTGATTGATCAAGGTGTGCTGTACGTTTTCCTGAATAAACGTGCTGGTCCAGAGGTCAGGCGCCGTAGGAGTTTCGTCAGGGGATGGAGACAAACTCTTGCGTTTCTCAACAAAAGCAAATAAAAGACACAAAAATGGTGGTGAAAAGGTATTCTTTCTGATTTCAAAAAACAATGGACTTTCTGAAAGCTTGTCTTACGGTTATATCTGTCAGATCCCATGTCCACAGGCAGCCTGTTTTTTAAAAACGAGGGGGTGAGCAGGGAGACGCGGTTGTTTCCTGGCACGGGGCACTGAGCCCCGCGCTCAGCTGGCCTGCCGCGGTGAGCCAGGGCACGGACTCCTGGGTTCACGGGAGCGGCTTGCATTTTGGGGAAATGGAATTGATTTTATACAGTCTGCTGATGAACAGCAAGGCTTAATGAACGATAGCCTCAAGAAACCTCATTACACTTGCTCGG